ATCAAATTCTAGGTCAGCCAGGGCTACATAGCCCAGGCTGGTTTCGAACACTCTATGGAGACAACCTTGAACTTCTGATCACCCTGCCTCCACCTTGGGAGGGCTGTGATTACAGGAGCCCGTGCCACACCCCGTTTTATGCGGTGCTGGAGATCGAACCCAGGTGCTCACGCATGCCAGGTAGGCATACCCACTGGGCTACATCTCAAGCCCTAAATATTAAAAGGGAGAAAACCAGAAATGTTAGCTAATAATAGCAATGGGATTATTAATGAAGATGACATTTTCACAAAGCATAGAATGCATTCTTCTGAATGACCAAACCAAAAAAAAAAAAGAGAGAGAGAGAGACTACCTCCTTTGCATTCATAAATTTTCTCAGATTCTCCAGCTAGGAGACTGCAGCGGCCTGCCAAAGGCAAGGGTTGGAAGAACCAGAGCTAAGTGGTAAGGAACAGCCATCAGGCAGGGTGAGTCCCCTCTCTGACCTGACCCAAAGACCCAAGGTTCAATTCCACCAACCCCGTCCCCTAGCACGATGGTCTGTGAGCACGTACCACAGACCCCCACCGGCAAACTGCCAAATCCAGGATCACCAAGTGGACATCACATGGATGGTCATCTGTGAAGGCAGACCTAGAAACCTAGGCAGTTTTATCAAAGACGGGATGTCTGCCCCCACAGCAGGTGAGCACCTAAGAGCTGGAGGAAAGGGTTTATTTGCAAGGCTGGGTTACAGTTTTCATGTGCTGCTGTAAAGTGAACCTGACTCAGGATGCTTCCCTCCTCCACAGCTCTGAGACCACGGCCAAGCCAGCCGCCGCTGAAATATACAGGAAAAAAAAAAAAAAAGCAGAGCCACAGACCAGCTCATTCAATCCCGGTAATGGTCCTCTTTTCTCCTGCAGAATCTCCTAGAATTCCAGCCCAGAATACTAAGCTATTTCAGCAAAAAGCAAGCTCCAGATGGCCTTGTTTTAAAGGATGAAATAGAGTTGGGGGTGTAGTTGAGCGGTACTTGCCTATTATGCATGGGTTCTATTCTCCACATAACACAAAAAGGCTGCCAGGTATGCTTGGAAATGCCTATAACGCCAGCACTGAGGAGGAAGACAAGGACGAAGGAACTCAAGTTTAAGGCCAGCCTAGGCTACACAGTGAGACTTTGTCACTAAGCAGGGGGGGTGGGGTGGGGTGGGAATGTAAAGCCCAAGGGGAAGAACAGGCCTTGAAGCACTCTCCAGGACTAGGTTAGAGTGATACCAAATTCCAAGCCCCATGAACACCACTGTACGCCAACACACTGCCTAATACCTAGGCTGGACCCCAGAAAGAGCTTGGTACACACAAGCATAAACAAACCCCTGGGTCCCTTCAGAAACCTGTGTAAACAGGGCCCTGGTGGGTTAGGACAGAGTGATAACTTGGCCTGAGATGTCCCGATAAGCACATTTCTTAAAAGCCGAGCTAGCCCAGATGGCCTCCAGGTCTCTCAAGGACAAGAGCCTTCAAAAAGGCCCTGTTTAACAAGGAAGAGACCCTGAGCAAACAAGGAGGCTGCATTCTCCAACAGAGACTTAGGCTGGGCTCACAGAAGGCCTCCAACTGGTGGCAGTGTCCCTCACGGCTCTCAGGCCTCGGTTTCCCCATTTCTACTAGAAAGCTTGCATGAGCTAAGACACCTGTAAGCACCTCCTTAAAATCTACAGCAGAACGCTGGGCGCAGTGGCTAGCACTGTTAAGCCTATACCACTCAGGAGGCTGAGGCAGGAAGGTCGTGGTCATGAGTTTGAGATCAGAAGGGTCTGGTGGAGTGATACACTGTCTCAAAACTAACAAAATGACCGTGAGGGCAGACAAGGCTCACCACTACCTTACACCGAAGGACTCTTCACCACTACCTAAACACAGGTCTCCTAGACGGAGTGAGGAGGAGAGGAGCTGAATGAAGGAGAGGTTTACACACCAAAGAAGGACATCCAGGGCAGCTATCCTCAGCTGAGCACTCCCCAAGGCCCAACCCAGCTCCTCTTCTCCACTTCCCGGGAACCTCCGCTGCATATCTTGGAAAAGCCATAGAGAAGAGGGATGAGGGGGGCATCCCAGGCACTCCTAGGTTAGAGACAGAGAGTCAGGTGGAAGGGTAACCAGAGCAACCAGAGCATGCTCCTGTACTTGGGAGAGGGCACAGAAAAGCAACAGGAATAGACAAGAGTGTTGGAAACAAGTTGGTCCAAAGCTCATCTGCTGGCCAGCCAGAGGCCCCATCCCATCAGACAGATATTTCAAAGGCTGGCTTTTGTACCTGCCTATGATAGGTGGGGCACCTCCCAGGATTTGGCTCCAGCTACCTATGGAAGGGCCCTGCTCACCCGCTTCAGGGAAAACAGAACATGTTACATTGTAGAGGGCACACAGCTCAGCCTGGAAAGGAAAAGTGTCCCCGGAGACGATTGGCAGCAGCTGAACCCTGGGACATTAACCAGGGTAGGAGTGCCTGAAAGGAGAGACTCTGCTCCCTGAGCAAATCTCAAGGTCTCCAGGGTGGACTGTGAGCTCTTAAAGGAAAGAAGCAGTATGGACCCTGTCTCCCCCCGCCCCCCCAGCACCCGCTTCCCCATCTGTAAAACAAGGTCTAGATGAGACCATCTCTTCTGGCCGAGACAGGATTTTTACAGGGCCTGACAGTCAACTGAACCACTCATTCCAGTGCAGCCTACCAGTCAGTCCTCCCAGCACGGACCCTGTTCCAAACATCTGAAACAGAATTCAAGTCATTTCCCAACAGCCCTGGCCCTTTTCGTCAGGAAATTCATAGACAATTCACCATCCATCAAAACAGTAGAAGCGCAGCACCCCCAGCTTCTGAATGTCAAGAACAGGATGATGCCCACTCAATGTCTCTGGAGCTTCTCAGACCACTCCAGCCTTCACAATAAACAAAACACAGTAAAGGGGAAGGGGGGGGGGGTCACTATCTCAACAGTTGTTTAGTTAAAAATGCGGCCACCAGGGGGCACTGCCCTGAAAGTAAAGAAGCAACAGAAAAACTCTTTCTGGCGTTTTCTTTTCGTTCTTAAGCTTCAGCTACAAAGCATCTAATGCTATACTAATAAAAACACACATTAGGATTCCTGGGCTGCCAGAAGGGCCCCGGGGCCTTCTGCCATCTCTCTGAAGCCAATACTTGGGCAAGGGAAGGCAACTGGACCTTGAATTCACAACCCTTCCTGAAAAATGAAAGCTCAATGAACATTTCCGAGTCGGGGGCTGACACCCTGGGGTGACCTGGGTCCCCTCCCACCCCCAGCCTCTTTAAAGGCAGGAGGGCCCCACGAGAAGAGCAAGCCAAGCTGCAGGTCAGGCAGTGAGCACCCAACCCTGCGGTCTCGGTTAGGACTGTTTTGCTACAGCCTACTAATTCCAGGATGAAACATGCCAGGCCAAGGCCAAGCCTCAGGTGTAGATGAAGGGTGACCCATCCTGCTGTCAATAAGCAAGGTACAAGGGATGAACTCGGATTCCCCAAGAATTATAGGACAGCAGGGGGAGCTGTGCTCCCCTCACGTCAGAACTGGACTTCTAGAACATGACAGAGGGGCTTCTCCAAAATTCTCTGCTGTCTAGGGCATCCTTTTCACGGTGTGTTTATTTGCGGTACAAACCTCCAACTGTCCTTTTAAAAAAATGTTCCAGAAGCCCTGGGCTTTTCCAAAGCTCTGGCTTTGAGTTCCTCTTGATTTCCTTGTGAATTCTGGGCTGCACTGAATGCCCTGTCGGCCATGAAAAGCCTACTTTCTCCTAAGAGGCCTGTCTGGGAGACTCGGCCAAACCCACAAGGGGACCGAGGGATGCAGAACCAGGGCCCCTTATAAACAGGCACCATCCCATCCAGCTGTGGGGCAGAGAAGCAGCAGGCTCTTGGACAGCCATGAGGGACAAGGTAGTGCTGCCAGGCCTGTGTGCCAGCCCAGACTGCTACTCACCTCTGTGCACCAAGGGATAAGGAAAACCAACTGCTCCATTCTCCAAGATTCGGGGGGCCCACCAGGGATGGAAATACAACTGAAGTCCATTTTTAAAAGTCAAATCTACCAAGTGGAAACACAACTCAACAAAAGGTTTCCACCCCGAGTTTGCAAAAGGCTTTGGGGGCTGGATTCTCTCAGGCTTTCGTTAAGAGGCTGCAACCAACGGCTTTGCAGAGAGGCAAGTCACACCTGACTCAAGGCACTCGGCACCTCTGTAATGTATTAAGAACAAGATTTATCACAGCCCCGGGTCTCTGCCACTGAAGCACCAACACAGTGAGAACGAGGTGGCCAGCCCGGAGGGAAGAAGACAATTCGACCCTACACGGGTCCACCCATCACTTTCTATGCTCTGCCACGCCTCAGCCCTGGGACCACAAGCAGGTACCCTACCTCTCTGTTGAGGGGTGTCCCTCTTCTCAGACACGTGGCCCAGAATCACCACCCTGGCTAATTTGCAAGGCTGCTGCGAGGCTCTAATGAGACAGCAAATCAACACAGACAAGCCAAGTATCGCTACTCATTTCAACTGGGTTTAAACCGGGTGATATGCAATGACAGCTTCAGGAGCTGTGCACACGCGAAGCACGTAGTAGGCTCCACACAAACGCGGGTACCCTGCTCTGCTAAGGGGAAGGAAAGGGAGGAAGAAAAACACACCGGTTCAAAAAGTACCCTCAAGCCCCTGACTGCCGGCTTGGACTCCCGATTTCCCGGGTCCCGCCGCCCTGGACGATCGGGGATCTCCCGGCACGACCCCGGTGCACCTGAGAGCCGCCGTCCGAGCCCATCGCCCATAGCGGCCACGCTCCCCTCGGACACAGCCCGCGGCCCCCCGCGGCCACCCGGCTGCTCTGAACCAGCCTCCGCGCGCGCCGCTCCTTCCCGGGTCACCGTCGTCTGCCCCGCGCCCGCCGAGGGCAGCCGGGCTCCGGCAGCGGGGGGTCCCCGAGCCGCGTCCCTCCTCACCTGCACAGCTCTGCGAAGGCCTGGAAATTGAGCTTCTTGACTTTCTTCTCGCTCAGCCAGTAGCCAACTCTCTTCCCTTTCAGGAAGGTCTGCATCTTCTTCCTCCTCGGCCCGGGAGCCTGGGTCCGGAGGAAATCGCCCACAGGCCGAGCGTGTGGGGCCGGCGCGCGCCGCGAGCGTGCGGGCACCTCCTCCGGCGGCGGGGACGCGGAGCGGGCTA